GTTAGCACAAGTGAACTAGCTTATTCTAAATATCATTAGCAATACCAAGTTTATCACAGAATTATGTTTATTGGCTCTAAAGTAGAGGATCTTCATGTTTGTGTTGTAGTCATAATTTTGTCCTGTTGATTGCTTGCTGAAAACTTGAGTGATCTAGTATTGGGTGTGTGGAAGAGTTATTGAATTGTTAGGAAATATGTAGAATAAGAAAATAAGGATTTTACGGTAGAATAGTAGCTAGTGGCTGCTTTTGGTAACCTTGCCCTTTAGGGTTTCTTTGTTATATATCCAATGTTAAATTTTGTTCTGTTTAATATCTCATTCTTTTCTCAAGGACAAGCATGTATGACTTATTCCAACATGTCAATATACTTTATTAATTAAACACATTTGATATGATGTAACTGGAGTTATGAGATTACACATCTTATTTGAAAATTGAATAGCATGAATTTTTCTTTGTGATGGTTAGAATCCTCTTGTAGGAGAGTTGGTCACTATTTATTATTATTTTTTTTGTGAGCTTGCTTCCAGGATTTTAATTTTGGTGAATCGTGGTTACCAATAATGGTTGACAGAGGAATGTAAGCCAATTAATTATCAATTAGATAAAATTCCTTTTGTAGTAATGGTTAAAGAATGTTTCATTGTAGGCTAAAATTTTTTTACTTGTAAGTTCAAGTGAACTAGCTTTTTCTAAATATCACTAGCCCTACCTTGCTTATCCCATCATTGTGTTTATTATGTTTTAATGTTTGTGATGTCGTCGTCATTCTGATAGAGTATCTCTGTCTAATGCATGTTAGATTGCTTGAGCTTGAGTGTTCTAGTATTGGGTGTGCAGAAGAATCATGGAATTGGTAGGAAACTATTAGGATAAGTGATTAAGTATTCTTTGTAAGATTAACAACTTTCCTTAATCTAATCAAGAGGACAGAAAGGAACTAGTTATCGCTCTTGTGAACCATTCCCTTTAGGGTTTTGGGTACCTTTGGTTGTGTGTTTGTGAGAAAGAGAGTGGCATGAGTACATTTTTAGGCAAGAATCATGGGAGTTGGAGAGAGAAACTTAGGAGGAAAATCATTCAATTGCTTCAAGCTTATTTGCTACATCCTAAGGTATCTTATCCATAAAAAAATTGAATAAATTCATGTTTATTCGCAATTACTACTAAATGTACTAATTTTGGGAATCCTCATCCTAAGTCTTTTACATCCATTCAAATTATAGATAGCCATAGCTTAAACAACATGAAAACTCCCTTGACTCACCTTAAAGGGGCGGCCATCTCCTATGGACAAGGAGGATTTTGTGGGGGTGAGTTTCCTTATTTTTTTCTCAACTTTTTCTTGACTCTTTTTTTAAATTTTAATTCTTAATTACATTTTTTGCAATTTAGTTCCTATTGCTCTTTTTTATTATTTTTCTAACCCTTTCAAAGTTAAACTTGCAAAATTTTCAAGCGTGCAGTAAATAGTTGGAATAATGCTAACGATGATCATATGAGATGCAATCAATTACAAAGAAATGATGAACCCCATTGTAATCTATCAATTAAAATTTTCAAGTATATTTTTCTTCCTCTCATATATTGTTATTTTTTTCAACTTTGTTTTCGAACAATATAGACTGCTTGCTCATATCTGCATTCGTGAAATGAATTTTTATTGCTTACTGATGCAGTTTATCAGACTTTTAGCATGCATTGTATAACCATAGATGCAATTTAGTGAGCTATTAGGATGGGCTGTTTTTAGCATACATTGAATTATTTTGACTTGAATCTAACCCAAATAATACTCGGTTAACCCAAACCA